TTTAAAAATGAGTAAAAGGCCTGAGTAGACATCTCTCCTGAGAAAGCCTATACTAAGTAGCTCATGAAAAGATGTTCATGAATCAAACCTCCAATGAAATTCCATTTTTCATACAGTGAGGGGTTATTATTAAAAAAAAATAGAAAAACTGCTCAAGTGTTGCAAGGTTGTGGAGAAACTGGAACTCACTCCTGGTGGTATAGAATGGTATAGCAATTGTGGAAAAGTGTGTTGGTTCCTTAGAAATTTAAACATGTATTTATCATATGAGCTAGCAAAAAATTAAAAGCAGGAACTATGACCTGGTACCCCAATATCTGCAGCATCATTCTTCATAATAGCCAACAGGTACAAACAACAAAAGTCTCTATCAGTAAGTTTTAAGAACAACATGATGAACAAATACTGTTATGGTTTGAATATGAAATGCTCCTCACAGGCTTATGTTTTAAATACGACATTCCCAGACAGAGGTGCTATAAGAAGAGCTTGTGGATTAGGAAGGATGTAGGACCTAGCTAAACAAACACTAAGTCATGGGAGGTGGGTATATTATCTCTAGCCATTTCCTGTAACTACTACTTCCTGGTTGTCACAAATGAATGGTTCTCCTCTGCCACATGCTACCACCCCCATGATTCTCTGTCCAAGTGAATGGAGACAAATGATCATGGACTGAACAGTCTCAAACAATGATCCAATATAAACCCTTCCTTCCTATGTTGTTTCTGACAGGTATTTGGTCATAGGGATGCAATTATCATGTTTTAAAAAGAACACAATTCTGATATATGGAAAAGCTTTAAAGTATTAAACTAAGTGAAGTAAACCAAAAGTAAATGACAAACATTGCATAACCCACTTAAGTGAATTACTATTATTAACAGAGACAGTGGAGGAGAGTAGCGCTTACCAGGACTAGGGAGAGCAAAATTAAAAAAAAAATGGCTATTTAATGTGAGGAATTTCAGTTTTGGATGACAAAAATGTCTCTGGAGATGGATAATGGTGTGGTAGTTTGAATAAGAAAAACCCCATAGGCTCATACATTTGAATGTTTAGTCATTAGGGAGTGGCACTATTTGAGAAGGATTAGAAGGATTAGGAAGTGTGGCCTTATTGGAGGAAGCATGTCTCTGGGGTTGAGCTTTGAGGTTTCAAAAGCCCATGTCAGGTCCAGGCTCTCTCTCTCAGCCTGTGGATCAGAGTGTAGCTCTCAGCTACTGCTCCAGCACCATGTGTGCTGCCATGCTCCCCAGCATGATTATCATGAACCAACCCTCTGAAACTGTAAGCATGCCCCCAGTCAAATGCCTTCTTTTATAGAGTTGCCTTGGTCACAATATCTCTTCACAGCAACAGAACAGGGACTAAGATAATGGTAATAACTGTATAAGAAGATGAATGTACTTGAATGTTAAGCCCTACTAATTTGTACACGTGAAAATGGTTGATGGTAAGTTTTATGTATATTTTACCATAGTATATATAAAAAAAGAACTGGACACAAATGAGATACTCTATTAGGATGTTCTTCACAGAGATAATGGCTAGCAGTTTTGAAATTATGTGTATGAGTTGAAGAAATCAATCTGTTTTGGACAACTAGACAGGTTTTTCATATTAAGGAAAGGAAGCATGTCTCTAGAAATATGGTTAGTTCTAAAGCTGGAAAACCCAATGGGCCTGTTTCACCAAGGAATGCCATTAAATATAGGATTAAAAGGAATGACTGGACACTGAAGGAGACAGGAGGCAAACTCAAAGACTCATGGGGTTGAAGCTGGGATATTATACAACAAATACCAGGATTTTAGAGTGACAATAGTAATATATAATTATATAATAGAATAAATATCTATAAACTCACTGATGTATATAAATTGCTGTATAGCAATTTCTTCTGGGATAAAACCTCTATGTAAAGGGAAGCTCTTAAAGCCTAGACAGTAAACAACTCAGAGGCTTGAGAAAGTCTTTGGAACTGAGCATACACTCGTCCCCTCTCCCACCAAGGTTACATAAGCAGTAAGGACAGCTGAGAAATTCTCAGACCACCTGAGCTGCTCAGAAGAGACATTGTCCAACCAGCTGAGCTGCCCGCAGGCTGTGCAGTGTGCTTCAGGTTTCCAGCTTGGTGAACTGTCACCTGTGCTGGAGTGGGCTTTGAGGATCCGCCATCTTTGACTCATTCCTGTTCTTGTACGTAACCCTGGAAAAACTAACTGGCTCACAAAGTTGGGTTTTGGTAGCATCTTTACCTTGGTCTGTCACTGATTTCCTATTTGGAGTGAATAGGTATTTGTTCATGTCTTCCTAGGAATAGTGTCACACAACAAATGAATATGTAATCGAGGGAAAGACTAGACTAGTTTCTCCTCACAAGCAAAATTATAATTAGAATATGCAGACGGAATGATAGAAATTGAAAGTCATCATTAGGTAAACACTGAACAAATAACTACTGCAAGTTAAAGACAAAAAAATTCAATGGATGCTAAAATTAGTTGTGAAAAGATATTTTCACAGTCCCCAAAAGACCAGCAAAGAAAAAAAAAAAGAATAATTCTGTAATTGGGGAAAACTGGCATAACATTAGGAAAATGGTAGAGTTAATATGGTAGTCAATCAGCATTAATAAGACAATCAGTATTCCATACCCAACTTCACTGACACGTTGAACAGAGAAGGCACTTAGTATTCTAGATGAAATTCATGATCTCAATGACTCATTTAGAAAACATCACATAAACCCAAATTGGTGGCTAGTTTACTGAATCACTAACTACTATACTTCACATGTCCAGATCACATGTAAAGACTGAGTAGCTGTCAGATGGACACGACCAAGGACATTGGCAACTGAAAGCAATGTGGGAAACTAGATCATAAAAAGCCATTAAAGAAAGGGGAAAGCCATTAGGGGGAAATTAGTCATATGGGGTCTATAGATTGGTTAATAGTGTATTAATGCTAATTTTCATCTTGTTTTTTAATGATGTTAACATTAGGAAAGTCTAAATAAAAGTATAAAGTTTTTACTATTTTTGTAAATCTCTGCAAATTCAAAACTATTTAAGAATAAAAAGTGAAAAAAATATGTGGTGATATTTTGAACAAATAAAATTTGCCTGAAGATCAGATGACAGAACTAGCCACAGAGTTAGCCATAGAGGTCAGGCAGTGGTGGCACACACCTTTAATCCTAGCACTCAAAGGGAGGCAGGGGCAGAAATCCATCTGCATTTCTGTGAGTTCAAGGCCACACTGGGCTACATGAGATTAATTCAGTCTAAAAGAGAAACAGAGCCAGGCAGTGGTGGCACACCCCTTTAAGGGATCACACACCTTTAACGCCAGCACTAGGAAGGTTGAGACAGGAAGTGATATGGCTGGGCAGAGAAAGGAATATAAGGCTGGAGGAGACAGGAACTCGCTCTCTTCCAGGCTGAGGAGCTGGTGAGGTAAGAGGTGGTGGCTGTGGCTTACTCTGTTTCTCTGATCTTTCAGCTTTCACCCTGATATCTGGCTCTGGGTTTTTATTATAAGACCACTTAGGATTTGTGCAACAAAAATCTTCAACGTATATCTAAACTTCTGGTGTCCAAGGTTTGCACAGTTTGCAGGAGTCAATAATTACCAACGAAGCTGAATTACTACAACTGATAACTTTTCTTTCTTTTTGAGATAGGGTCTCTGTATTATGCAGCTTGGCTGTCAAAGAACTCACTACATAGACCAGGCTGGCCTTGAACTCATAGAGATCTGTTTGCCTCTGCCTCCTGAGTGCTGGGATTAAAGGTGTGCCACACCATGCCTGGCCTGATAACTCTTTTTAAGATAGAAAAATCCCCAGAGAAGACCCCACTTCTGAACTCTCTTTTACTGACCCAGTGCTGCCATTCACATACCAACACTTTTCCCCTGTCATAGCAGTCAAAATTTTAAGAACAGGCATCATGGCTGGGCGGTGGTGGCGCACGCCTTTAATCCCAGCACTCAGGAGGCAGAGGCTGGTGGATCTCTGTGAGTTCGAGGCCAGCCTGGTCTCCAAAGCGAGTTCCAGGAAAGGCGCAAAGCTACACAGAGAAACCCTGTCTCGAAAAACAAAAACAAAACAAAACAAAAAAACAAAACAAAAAAACCAGGCATCATAATTTCCTCATTTTGACATGCTTTTGGATACATGGTTTTGTCAAAAATACATATTCATATTGATAAATATTACTCTGGGGCTGAAGAGATGGCACAGTGGTTAAGAACACTTGTTCTTGCAGAGGATCCAAGTTCAATTCCTAGCACCCACATGACAGCTCACAACCATCCATAACTCCAGTTTTAACAACGTCTTCTGACCTCTGCAGGCTCCAGATGTACAGTCATGTGAGCAAAGCACTCATATGCACATAAAAATATCTAAAAAAATTAAAAATAATTCCTCTGGATAATTCACTTGTTTATAATAAAATTAATGTTGATACTTTAAAAATAAACAAGTTTCGCCGGGCAGTGGTGGCGCACGCCTTTAATCCCAGCACTCGGGAGGCAGAGGCAGGTGGATCTCTGTGAGTTCGAGGCCAGCCTGGTCTCCAAAGCGAGTTCCAGGAAAGGCAAAGCTACACAGAGAAACCCTGTCTCGAAAAACCAAAAAAAAAAACAAAAACAAACAAACAAAAAAAAAAACAAGTTTCACTATATATTTAAAATTAGTGTTTTATGGCATGTAAACTTCTGTTACAGACTGATTGATTACAATATTGATTGGACTCTGCATAAAGCACCATAATCTGACTCCCTGACCATCTGCCCTGACCATCTTCACTCTTGTATTAATTCATTGATATGGCATAGGGTTTGCTGTAAGTCAGTGGGGAAAAAATGTTCCTGTTGAGTTAAAAACTGCAGCGTGACAGTTTACAAAACGATGTTATAAAATAAAGTACTTTTTCTGTCAAAACAAAGTAGATATTCAGTAGGCATCTTGTGAATGATTTACTTACGTTCCACAAAGGAAGTGAAGAGCATCCTAAACCTGCTGAGCCGACTGCCTTCATCTGCCCACATCCGTATCACCCCCACTCCTGTTTTCAGCATTACATCATTAGCCACAGTGCTGCAAAACTTGGCCTTCAGATTTTCAATGGCACTGCTTCCATCATAGACCGCCACAAAATTTCTCTTGCATTCATTTGAGTGTTCCATTTGGTAATCTAAGAACCTCAAATAAATCTGTAATATCAAAACACAAGAATTTAAAAAAATACTTAAAATTGTTCTATTTTAAGATTCATAGTCAATATATTAGACTGAATTGTAACAACTGACTGAAAAACATAAAATAAAAATATCTAAAAAAATTAAAAACAATTCCTCTGGATAATTCACGTGTTTATAATAAAATTAACGTTGATGCTTTTAAAATAAACATGTTTTACCACATATTTAAAATTAGTGTTTTATGGCATGTACATTTCTGTTACAGATCAATATTGGACTTTGCATAAAGTGCCATAATCTGATGGATTATACCTTAGTAGTTAAGGATCTAAAAACAGTCTCATTTTTGGTTGTCTTAATAATGGAACTAAACATTAAGAAATCTAAAATTTATGTTTTATTTACAAAGAGGTGTTTATATTCTTATATAATCTCATTATGATAATTCCATGGTATTGATATATAAAAGAAATAAAAGCATTGTTCACAATTTTATTATTCCAACAGTCAATGTTATTAGTTGGTGCTTTCAGTTTTTTGTACATTCTATTACTTACTTATTTTCAAGGCAGCATCTCATGTAGCCTAGGCTGACCTTGAACTCAATATCTAGCCAAAGGTGACCTTGGATTTCCGTTCCTCCTCTTTTCTCCACTTGATGCTGAGATTACAGGCATATACCACCCCACTTGGTCTTACGCAATGCTAGGAATCAAACCCAGAGTTGCATGCATAGAAGACAAGTGCCTTGGCAGCTGAGTTGCATCTCCAACCCTTTCTGTACATCTCAAAACCTGAGCTTAACTATAAGATGCTCAAGATAAATACACCCCATTTCTGTAATAACACATCACAAGGGTCATCTACAATCTTTATTGCAATCCTCACTCACATAGAACCTTATCATTTATTTATTCACAATTCCACTGCTATACATTTAAGCATTTTAAAAATTCTAATCTGTAAACAATACTTCCTACTTTTTTCCAGACAAAACATAGGATCTGTATTGTAAGGACTATTAGCATTTGCTTTATTCATTTTATAAAATTGCTATTGGGGACCAACTGATTTATTAGTATTTATTACAATTTGGTTTCCTTTTGTCTGAAGATTTTACTTACATTTTTACATTCTCAGCTACAAAGACTAAGCACTAATCTCTAACAGAACCTTATAAAGCAAGTGTTACTTATGGCAAGAGAGATTCAACCTGCTCAGGGTCACACAGTGCAAGAAGGTGAAAAAAAACATTTATTTTGATTTATGTGTATTTATGTCTGTCATGTGTATGTGGGTACCCACAGAAGCCAGAAGAGGTTACCAGAACCCTGGAGCTGAACTTACAGTGGTATGTACCACTAATACAGGTGCTGGAAACACAACTGCGGTCCTCTGGAAGAGCAGCAAGTGGTCTTACCTGCTGAGTTATCTCCCCAGCCCCAAGGGCAAGGATTTGAACTTAGGTTGATTCGTGTTTAAAGTGTGTGTTCCTCAACTTTAAGGGAGGCCTTACATTCACATTCACACACACACACACACACACACGTTCTCACTTTTTGTCTTTACTTGCCTTGACCTAAAATTTTCTGGTGTGAAAAGTAGTATTTCCTCGGACTTGTCACTGAACTCAACCTTCCAGATGTTACTCAGGAGGCAGTGGTATTCTTTATAACCTTAAAAGGCTTAATACATCAAAACCATGGCAAAACAGCATCAAATTTTGATCTATTAATAACTTTAGTTTATTTGAAATTACCAATTTGCCATTTCCATGAGCATGGTGAGAAATTAATAGTAAGATAGGTTTTGTAATCTGAAAGTACAAAATCTTTGTGCATGTACCTAAACAAAAAAGAGACATTTTTCATGCTAGTCGTGGTAGCAGAGGCCTACAGCCTCAGCTCTTTCTGTTTTTCCCCATGTTCTACTTTTTATTCTCTATTTACTTAGATAAATAAATAAGGAAGCAGGAAGATTAATTGGAACTTGAAGGTTATCCTTTCCTATGCAGAAAATTTCTGACTAGCCTGGACTATGTGAGACTCTGTCTCAAAACCCCCCAAACCAATCAAACAAAACAAGCCTGGCGTGGTGGTGCCCACCTGCAGTCCCGGCCCTTGAGACATGCAGGCAGGAGTGCCAGGAACTCACACTTGCCTCACATGGCAAGTTCAAGAGTCATCCTGGGCTGCATAATGGCCCAATGAGAAATCAAAATGAAAACAATATTAATATTAAAATGCAATTAATTAATATTAACAAAACATTAATATTAAAAATAAAAAGTATATTAAAAATTTTTAAAAATTAATTTACTATTTGTGTGCATCTTGGTTGGTTTTTGTCAACTTGACCCAAACCTAGACGTATCTAGGAAACTGAAATGTCACCTGAGTAAATGCTTCCATCAGACTGCCTTTGGCAAGTCTGTGGGGCTTTTTCTTGTTAAGGATAGATGTAGGAGGGCTCAGCCCACTGCAGGAGGTGCCGATTCTGGGCATGTGGTCCTCGGTGTATAAGAAAGCAAACTGAGCAAGGACTCTGTGGCTTCTGCTTCAGTTCCTGACCTGATTTCCTCAGTGACTGACTGTTACCTGAAGTGTTCAGATAAAATAAGCCCTTTCTAAGTAGACAGTGTAAGTAGCTCTCATAAATTTACTATTTATGCAATAAAAACACTCTGTTTTTGGTTCTAACACTACAATTGTCTCCTCCATTAGACTGTAAAGGCTTCATACAGGAGGATCATATACTAAATAATAATCTAGCATATTTTTACTCAGAGAAGGTAATAATTAGGTTTTTAAACTATGAATTAGAGCCGGGTGGTGGTGGCGCATGCCTTTAATCCCAGCACTTGGGAGGCAGAGCCAGGTAGATCTCTGTGAGTTCGAGGCCAGCCTGGGCTACCAAGTGAGTTCCAGGAAAGGCGCAAAGCTACACAGAGAAACCCTGTCTCGAAAAAAACAAAACAAAACAAACAAACAAACAAAAACTATGAATTAGATCAGGATGGAGGGACAGAGTACTGGGAAAGACAACTGGAATTTGGGGGCATCTCTAGGACAAACTAGAGACCCAGTGCAATGGAAACTCCCCAGGAACCTATGAGGGTGACCCTAGCTAAGACTCCTAGCAGTGGGGGATATAGAGCCTGAACTGGCCATCTCCTGTAACCAGGCAAGACTTACAGTGGAGGGACTGATTCACCAACCCAGCCATACAATCTTCGACTTACAACTGTCCTGCCTACAAGATGTGTTGGGGGTAAAAGGTGGCACAGAAATTGTAGGAGTAGCCAACCAATGACTAGTCCAGCTTGAGACTCATGCCCACCCCTGACATTGCCTAGAGGGCCAGGGCTCAGAGGCTGGAGAGCACAGAGACCTAGGATAAAACCAAACATGACTGGCAAAAAAGAAAAAAAAAGTCAATGAAATGATTCCTAAGGATATTCTGCTCCAGCTACAGATTGGTGACTAGCCCAATTGTCACCAGAGAGGCTTCATCCGGCAACTGATGGAAACAGGTGCAGAGACCCTCAGCCAAACATCAGGCAGAGCTCGAGGAATCCTGCAGAAGAGAGGGAGGAAGGACTGTAGGAGCCAAAGGGGTCAAGGATACCACAAGGAAACCAACTGGGGCTCATAGACTGAACTGACAAACAGGGAGCCTGCAAGGAACTGACCTAGGCCCTTTACACATTCTACAGTTGTGTAGCTTGGTCTCCTGGTGGCACTCCTAACACTGGGAGCAGGGGCTGTCTCTGACTTTGTTCCTGCTTTGGGGACCCTTTCCTCCTACCAGGTTGCCTCATCCAACCTTAATATACGAGGAGGTGCCTAGTCTCACTGCAATTTGATATGCCATGGCTGGATGATGTTCATGGGAAGCCTGCCCTTTTCTGAAGAGAAAGGAGTGGATGGGGGGAAAGGAGGCAGTGGGGGAGGAACTGGGAGGAGAGGAGGGAAAGGAAACTGCATTTGTATGTAAAAACAAATGAACAAACAAACACCCATGAATTAGAAGAACTAATAAGTAGCAGCAAAACCAAAAAGATGTCTCAAGTGTTTACTGCCTCATTTTTGTGGGTGGAAGTGGTACTAGGTTACTTAACCCAGGGTCTTGCATATGGTAGGCAAGTGCTTACTACTGAGCTGCATCCTCTGTACATTCAATATTAGTCAACAGTTATTGATAGTAACTGATTATTGTGTACACACATATGCTACTGCATGTTTATGTGAGAGGAAAGATCTGTGGAGGTGGCTACTTCCACCTCTGCGTGGGTTCCAGTGATCCCCTGAAGTTGTGAGGCTTTGCAGTAAGCACTTGCCTCTGCTCAGCCATCACACTTCCTTACTAACTCATTCCTTTGAGAAAAGGAATTGTTACAAGTTGCCCAGAATGGTCTCAAACTTGCCATGCTCCTGCTTCAGCATCCTCCAAAGTAAGTGGGATTATACACCTGTGATAGCATATCTGCCTGTCTGCGTAATCTTTTAATATAAAGACATATGTTTAGGGGCTGGAGAAATGGCTCAGAGGTTAAGAGCACTGGCTGATCTTCCATAGAACTGGGGTTCAATTCCCAGCATCCACATGGCAGTTCACAACTGTCTGTAACTCCAGTTCCAGGGCATCTGACACTCTCACACCAATGCATATAAAATAAAGTTAAATAAATTAAAAAAAGAAATATGTTTAAATCTACAGTAAATATTCTTCAAAGACATTTAGCTCAAAGTAAGTCATACGAGACACACACACACACACACACACACACACACACACGTGAATACACTGAAACAGAACCAGGTGTGGTGGTGCTCACCTGTAATTTCAGAATTTAGGATGTAGATACAGGTGGTTTAGGAATTCAAGGCCAGCCTGAGCTACACAGCAAGTTCGAGGTCGGCCTGAGCTACAGGAAACCTTGTCTCAAAACTCCCTACAACAATGAAACCCTCAAGTTAATTTAGACAACTTTTAGAGAATATATGGATCTG